TCACTTTAAAGTGCCAATATAAAGTTAAAATGTTAACTTTGGATTTAAAGTATTATTTTCGATATCTCACTTGATTACAAGTATCATATAAAGCTAAACTTTCCAAAATGTCTTAATATCACTTAGTGATAGGCCAGTTTGTAACAATATCTATAATTATTTAATTCTAAAGCAAATGCGCAAATAAATTCCAATATATATATATATATAATTGTGGTATATTCAGTTTAAAGTTAATTAACTTGAAAGGAATGGAGTAAGTCCGCATAACAAGAGGTTCAACAAGATATTTGACATGGAATAATAATGAATCGTGGAATAACTAACTTCTTAAAAATTAAATATAGACTGGACACAAAGTACAAAATGATATGAGTAATCTTTATTAAATCAAAATTGACACAAATACTGTATGTGTTAAATCTGGATTATCTATTACTTTTCTAGAAACATTGCATTTCCCCAGAGTGGATAGTGCTCATTCTTTATGTGACTGTTCATTTTTTATTTAAACATTAGTTAACCCATAACCTCGAAAAACCACCTATCTGTTCTATCACTGACGGACATTGCTATCAGCATCTTTGTACAACATGCAGCATTACAGCAATACATCCATGGGCAGAACAAATGTCTCCAGAGACAAAGACAGCTAGAATGAAATCAACTTAATGATTTTCTTGATGACATGTTATGTGAAAACTGCAAATATACAGAATAACCAATAAATTCAAAATAAATGCTACAATAAGGAAAAAATGCATGATATATTTATATACCACACTTTCCTTTCTCCCTTATTTCAGGCTTGACCTCGAGCCGACAATTTCTGTTAAATTTACAGCTAAATAAACTTCAAACTCACATTCTGATCGAGAAGTGCATTAAGTTTTGTGTCCCCTGAAAACACTGACATGCAACACAGACATCACAACCATTTAACAAAGAAAATAATGTCATACTAATGTACATCTAAAGAAACAAAGTGTTCAATACAAAATCTCTATGAAGTTGCAAGTCCTTATATCAGCTAGTGTGTAAATCTTCTTGTAATAATAAAAGTGTTAGTTAATCTGTGTGTGACTACCATAGTTCCAAGAGTAAAAACCTAGAAACCTGAAATTTTGCACATGTACTAAGTGTGCCCTGTGGGTGTGCACCTGGGTATAATTATTTATCCATGTGTGCACGTGCATGTGCATTTTTTATGAGGAAATCTACCGAAAAACCACATAGAAAAGAAGGAAGTGGTTCTTTGTATTACAAATAGAAATCACAAACAGACATACACACGTGTGTCTGTATATGTATGGCTACCATAGCTCCAATAGGAAAGACCCTAGAAACCTGAAAATTTTCACCCATACTAAGTGGATCCTGAGGGTGTGTAACTGGGTATTATTACTTATCCATGTGCGCATCTTTTTATGGGGCAAGCTAGCAAAAACCACATAGAAAAGAAATGTGGCTACCATAACTCAAAGAAGAAAGTACCTAGAAACCTGAAATTTTGCACCCATACTAAGTGGATCTTGAGGCTGTGCATCTGGGTATTACTTACCTTATCAACATGCGTGCACGCATGTGCGTGCACATCTTTTTAAATAGTAGAAAGTTAACTCTCAAGGAGTAATGATAACGTTATTTAACTAGAATTATGATGTTTTTTTTAGCTTATGTAAAATACAGAAGAAACAAATAGACTGTTCAATACCAATAAGACCTTCGCAGTACCTTATTTAGTATTATGCAAAAGGTTTGGGTGAAATATACCAAGCCTGTTTTGTTGTAGGCTGGAAAAAGAATAATATGAACAAATGAGCAGTTTTGTTGTATTTTAGATTTGTTCTAAGTATCAGATAGTTTATTTTTTCCGAGTTTTTAAAATGTGTATGGCCTGTAGTATTGTAAAGTGAGTGTTGTTTTAGGAACGAGTTTGCTTTCTAAGGTGATTTTCGCTGTGTGTTCTGTTAGATTATTTCGTCAACTCGTGGTTCATGATATAGTAAGATAAGATAAAATGCAAAAAGAAACACTGAATAAAATACATATTGATTCACAACAAATATTAAATTATCACATAATCAAATCCTTTAAAAATAGACACGAGAGTGAATTACATAACAAAATCAAATATCAGTAATCATCCAAAATACAGTGCATTAGATATGGATAACCCTTTTTAGTAACTAAAAATAAACCAAAATTGAAACAAACCAAATCTTTAATAAAGAAGAAAAACTACTATTTCAATACAGGCCATTTAAATAAAATAGAGCAAAACATGGTAAAGCATCCAATAGCCCTTTGATAATAATTACAATGCATGATAATTTCAAAATAAAATTATATTAAAGAAATCATACAAACACCCCTAAGAATAAACAGAAAAAGAAAAGTGAGAAAATCAAGTAACAAGCATGAGTTCTAACTTTCCTTACTTGAACCCTAGCATCAGATCCTCCAAAGCGGTAGGTTACTAGAAAATGGCCACCATAATGAAATAGATGCTATTTCGAGCCAAGGTTATTCTGTATGTAGCTGGTGGACTTCTTCCAGTTTGGAAAGCAAAATGACTCTCCTACACAAATAGTCCTTCTTGCAGGTGTATAGGGCCCAGGTCTCTGTTTACTTTGCAACTATCTCCAGGCAGTACCACTTTAGCACCGGAATCTTCTGTAAGGTCAGCTGTACAGCGGTGGTGGCAAGAGTGATAATAAGAAAATGCATGGGGGCAACATTTTCCAGAGGGGAGAAAAGTAGTGTGAAATTGTGAATTGAATAAAAAATTCACATAAATATGCTGAACGAACAAAGAAAGAATTATGTTTCTTATTCTTCCAGGGTAATTTAGTGAAAATCACACAGAGTAGGACTTACTTGTATTAGATCGTCAAGAGATTAATGTCGCGTTTTGGAACACTTTCATTAACCATCCCCCCAAAAACGTACATCACATATAACAGTTAAACGAACCGCCTAAACGTCACGTTACTTTAGCCTATATAATGTGCAAAGTTTAGTATACTCTAATCCCTTATAGTGATGGCACACGACCAGACCCACATTCGGCATGTAATGCTGTTTGAATACAAGAAGGGAAACAACGCCTCTGTAGGCACAAAGAATATCAAAGAAGTTTATGGAAATGTTTCGAACGTTCGTAAGTGTCAACGATGGTTCCGTAAATTTAATTCAGGTGACTTTAGCCTTAAAAACTGTGATGGCAGGGGCCGACATGTTGTAATTGATATTGATCCTCTGAAGACGCTTGTTGGGTCTAATCCATAGCAACACACTCGTGAAATGGCCCTGAAATTGCAT